ATTAAAATAAAATTTACAAAAATTTATTTATTTATTTATTAATAATACGAAATAAAAATTAAAAATTAAAAAAAAAATTTTTTAAATATTTTTTTTGCTGTTAATTAAAAACGCAAACAAACACGCGAAACATTTTATTTTTTTTATTTATTTGTTAACAAACAAGAAAATTACAACAACCGAATGAGAAAAAAGGTTTGTTTGCTTCGAGGCAAACAACAAATAATTACAAAAATGACTTTGTTACATAAAAAGCAGATGAGAGAGAAAAAAAAAAAATTTAAACTTAATTTACTCCATTCAACAACAACGTAACTAAAAAAAAAAAAAAATTACTCTCAATTATTATTATTATCATTATTATTATTATTATTAATATTTATATTTTTACGCGATTTTACAAAAAAAAAAAAAAAAGCAGAAGAAAAGCTGAAGAAAAAATCCGATCGAATTTTTGAAAAATTAATAAATTATTTTTAAAAAAAACGGAAAAAAAATCCATTTTGTTTATTTTTCGATTAATCGATTTATCAAATTTTTTTTTAGAATCGAATATAAGATGGCGATCGACCGATCGAAGGATTTGTAAAAAAAAATAAGTAAAGAAACAAACAAACGTTTTAATAATAATTTATTAATGTACTTTTAAAATTTGGAAACGAAGTAAGTGGGAAAAAAAAAAAAAATTATTTTTGAATTTTTCGCCCTTTCGAATGACGTCATCATGAAACGCAGCCTCCGCTATTCTTTTTTTTTTTTTTTTTTTGTAAAAACTCACAACGTTCGTTCCCGTTTTATAATAATCAATTAAAGTTCCGGCCTTCGTTTCCTCTCCCATTTATAGAAAAGTTTACCTAATTTATTAAAAAAAAATGCGTTTGACTCTGAACAAATCGAAACTTTTTAAAAAAAAAAAAAAATTCAAGTACGAATTCGCACCGAATCCATCATAACACACGTGAGATTCAATTATCATTATCATCATTATCATCATTATCATTATCATCATTATTATTATTACTGCATTTTCATTAAAATGTGTGAAATGTGAAGAATCATGAAGGACTCGTAAATGTCCGTACGTCCGTCCGCGTCCGACATTACGATTATTATTACAGGTAGACTAATTACTTTTTGTATGACGTCATTCTTTGTAATAATGATGATTATGATTGATAATAATCGAAAACTTCTTTCATCCTTCGGATTTTTTTTTTTTTTTTTAAAAATCTTTCGCGTGAAAATACGCACACGCAATTACGCACTCGTAATGAAAATGGTGGAGGACGATTGTAAAAAATTTAACGTTTTTTTTTTTTTTGCTCCAGTTTCTTTTTTTTTTCGTAAAAACAATTAATCAACCTCAATTCACTCTCTCTCTCTCTCTCGTTAATTAAAAATCCCCGGAGAGAAAACTAAAAAAAAAAAAAAATAGCAGACTACAACAACAAAAAGTTTAAACATATAAACAAGTGCGTGTGCGTGTGTGTGTGTGTCTGCAATGTTTAACTTGACCACTAGTATTAAAGTAATAAATCAATAGAATTTAAAAAAAATAATGATAATAATAATGATAATAAATAAAGCACGTTGAAAGGTTAAAAAATTTGTTTGGGTGCGTGCGTGAGTGCGTACGCGTTTAAATGCGTGTGTGCGAAAAGGGTAATAACCTTTTTTTTTTTTTTTTTATAATGTTTGCAGTGTCATTCGAATGGGAATGCGATTCGGACATTTAAAAAAAAAAAAATTATAACGAAATTACACGTCGAAAAAAAAATGAGAAAAAAAAAAAAAACGAGAGCAGTGGAAGCAGAAAAAGTTGGCGGCAATAATCCATTATTTAAAAAAAAAAAAAAATTTTTTTTTATTAGATGAAAAAAACCTTGATGATGAGGATAGAAAGAAGAGAACGGTAAACGAGTTATTTTTTCTTTTTTTTTTTTTTATTATAATTTCTGACAAAATCTGTCCATTTTTTTTTTTTAACGAGGTCGTAACATTTAAAAAATAATAATAATAATAATAATGATAATAATAATAATAGTAACAGTTGATAAATTGTTAATAATTTATTTTAAAAAGAAAAAGAAAAAAAAGATTGAGCAATTTTTTCATTTTTTTTTTGTGGAAAAATTAAAGGGTATTCATCGATTTGTTGCCTTATCAATCGACTCGTTGCCTTATTACAAAAGCGTGATAAGAGTGCGTAAGTGCGTGAGTGCGTACGTTTTACCGGAAAAAAAAAGATGAAAAAAAAATTCTTTGTCATTGCTACAAATTGTGTGAGTTATACTAAACCGCGAGAAAAAGAAAAATGGTTGTCGTTGTTGTTGTTATGATTGTTGTTGTTATTTATTTATTTATTCGATAAAAAAAGAGGGAGGACAAAATAAAAAAATTAATAACAAACAAACAAACAAACAAACGAGACAAACGGACACATACAAAAGTGATGAAAACGTGATTGAAATGTTTAAAAAAAAAAAAAAGTGAAGTTATACTCGAAGGTGGTGTCAACGTCATGATAAATACGTCAGCCTTCCGGTGTAATATACAAAAACCGGAAATGATGATTCCGATGATTATTAATACGAGGAGGCAAGTCAGGCAATCGCTTCAAACAAACGAACAAACAAAAAAAATGTTTTTTTTTTTTTTTTCAATATTAAAGTCTTTTCATTTTTATTGTCTGTCAAAGAATTTGACGAAATCATTTTCTAGAAATATCATCGTCGACCTTGTTTTGTTTGATTTTTTTTTTTTTTTTTTTTTTTACCAACAAACTCGAGGCGATCGTTGATGGTGGGGTGGGGGGGTGTTTTTCCCCTCCCCCCCCCCCCTGCCCCGCTCCCACGCCCCCCCAACAGTCCTTTCAACCACTTTAACATGACGACCGGTCGACGATCATCACGAATTATTCGATATCTATAGATTAAGTGTCTTTTTCTAGAACTTTACTAAAAGACCTTGTACAAACATTTGTGTTTGTTGTTTGTTTTGACTTAAACATCAATTTTTTTTTTTCGGAACTTTTGATCATCATCATCATCATCAAAAATAATTATTTGCGTTCTAATAAAAAAAAAAAAAAACAATGAAAGCGTAAACAAAAAAAAAAGTAAAACAATGACTAAGCATAGAAAATTTGCCGTTTGTTGATGAATATATATATATATATATATATTTATAATTTTATAATAATAATGAATGATGTAAAATAAAATCTTCTGACACGTTATTTTTATTTTTACCTTCTTTTCTCTTTTTATCCTTACGCGGCGGCGGCATAAAAATTTTTCATTCAACCAACCTTTTATTGCTTTTGATTGACACGTTCGAATTATCTCGACGAGGAGTCGTTTGTTGTTGTTGTTGTTGTTGTTCTTGTTGGGCGAATTAAGAGTTTAAGTAAGACAAAAAAAAAAAAAAAAAATTAACTTGTTTTTTTTTATCTCATTGTCAGACTCATCGGATATGATTTGATTAAAAACCTTTTCTTTGTTTTAAAAACGAAAGATAATGCCACGACACGACGAATTTACGAATTTTTTTTGTTTCTCTTCAAGTAAATTTTTTTTTTTTAACCGTAACCTCGCTCTATAAAATAAAAGTTATGATTAATTTTCGTGCTTTTTTTTTCAATAAAAATGATGATAATGATAATAAAATAATAATGATGATGATGATGATGATGAATTAGTGCGAGAAGAATTGATTGATAAATAAAGGCAAAAAGGGAAAAAAGAAATTTTTTTTTACAGTGATGGAATTTTTTTTTGTAAAGGAAGGAGTAGAAAAGAAACGAAATCTGCTGCCACGACAGTTTTTTTTATTTAAATCGTACGGAAAAAATTTTTCCGTGCATTTTTTAATTTTTTTCAAAGTGTAACGTGTTTTTTGATGGCTAATCATGACGTGATCTCGTAAAAATCCGACAATTTCGTAAAAACAAAAAAAAAAAAAATTGGCGCGAAAGTTTAAAATTCAAATCGACCATAATACAAACGAACGGACGGACGAACGTGTGTCATTTTCCCTTATCGCAAATAAAAATAGGGACTTCCCCTTTTTCCGTTTTTTCCTTTCCGCCGTTTCTTTCTTTTCATTTCCGACCCCGGAAATTTTCCCGTGAGCCTTTTCGACACCACTCAAACGCCGAATTTTCCGAACCCCTTAATGTTTAACTTACGAATGAATAAAAACTTAACCGTTCGAAACGCGTTCGAACGTTTGGCAATCACGACGGGGAAAAAAAAAAAATATTTAAACAGTTTTTTTAAAATTGTTAATTCGTTTGCAGAACGAAGAGAGAGGAAGAGAGGAAAGGAAAGGCTAAACGGGGGCCACACGGTGGGGACATTTTAATTAAAATTTTTTCCCCGTTTTAAATTTACATGAATAAGTAATTTAAAATATGCAATCGAAAAATGTAATGAGGAGAGGGCAAACATTTTAATTATTTATAGATTTATAAAAGTTATTTGAGCGTACGAACGCCTTGAAATAATTAACCGGAGTACGTAAATAGATTTATTTTAATTTTTTTAAAATTATATTTTCGATCGTTTTGTAATTATTATCATTATTATCATACATCTTTCGATTCGGCGATTCAAAAGGTGTCGAATCGTCGGCGAACGATCATGATACTCCATTAAATTTTTGTCCTGCGGTTTTTATTTATTACCCCTCAACGTAAACGAGGAGCCGTTTGATAATAATAATAATAATAACATCCGGTTTGTTTTCCCTTTCGATGGATACACGAATGTATACGTTTCAGGAGGTTTAAAATTTTTGAATTTCTTTCATCTTCCTTTTATTAATGAGCGTGGATGGTAGGGGAAAGAGGTAACACAAAAAAAATTTTCTCGCAATGTAATTTAAAAAAATTGTAAACTGAAATTAGAACAAATTTGAATTTGTAATTAAGGCCGAGAATAAAGTCAGGTTGGCAGCAGACATCTTGGTCAACCACACAACGATGACAACAAGGTCGGATGTGGACATATTTTTTTTTTTTTTTCAATTTTCAAACAATGAAAATCTGTGACGCAATTGTGGCAAACACAATTAAACCGTGTTAAAAATAATGATGTCACAAATGAATTTTCATGCCAAGACACACACAAATATCTTTTGATTGATTGATTGATTAATTTACTCAATCGTTTATTATTTATTAAAAAATTTGGGGTAACCATTTTGGCACAATGAATTTCATTTAGGTTTTTTTTTTTTATAAAAAAAAACCGGATACAATGATGAGATTATTTAATTGAAAAAAAAAAAAATTTTTTCTTTTTCTTTTCAGTCTTTCTTCGGACGAACCTACAACAATTTAGGCTCAATCACGGAATGTAAAAACAACGGAGAATGCGTGATAAATAAGAAAAATCGTACGGCTTGTAAAGCTTGCCGTTTAAGGAAATGTCTTCTAGTCGGGATGTCAAAAAGTGGGTCCAGATACGGCAGACGTTCAAATTGGTTTAAAATTCACTGCCTCCTACAGGAACAATCGCAAAACGGTACAAACAGACTAAATACGAACATATTCGGGTCTCCCCCGGGTTTTTTCCCCGGATCGTTTTTATCAAATTCCCTTTTGTCGCCGGATAAGTTTTTTCAAACGGCGGCAGCTTTTCACGGATATTCTTCCCGTTCTAAAAAAGAAGAAGTTAGCAATCATTCGGAATCGGGTGAATCGTCCGCGGGTGACGTGGATGACGAAAGTCGTTCTAGCAGTGCTTTAAATAACTACATGAGACCTCCATCTTCGCACAAGACGCCATCTCCCTTTAGCGATAAAGACTATACGCAAAGGAATTCGGCATTTAGCAAACATTTGTCTCCATTCACGCCGGCCGTCTCGTTAAATCTTCCAACGTCGCCCATCGGGTGCACGGTAACCAATTCTCCGTTCTCGCCGCCCGTCACCGGAGGCGGCATGTTTTTCCCTCCTTCGCAACCCTCACCAAATCGGTTATTGTTTCCTTCGGTAGTGACAAAACCCGGCGTCGTCACGCCGATCAATCCGTTGCTGGGAAGCTGGCCTCCTCCAAGCATGCAAAACGGCGGAAATTTACTTTTGTGCAGTCCGGCATTGGCGGGAGTCGCCGTAGAACAAGAACATCCCATAGATCTATCAGTCAAAACATCGACGATTTCCTACAATTCGCCACCTACTCCGGTAAGCAACAAAGACTCTGATAATTACAAAGAAAATAGTGATGTAGATGATGACGACGACGACGATTTAACCATCGACGTCGAATTGTGCAAGGAAAGTGTTCTTATTAAAAACAATCCATTAGATTTAACGGCTAAAAGAGTGGAAGTGCCACAATCTGGTTAAATTCTAATCGAATATATATATATTTAGCATTCGGCCCTTATGAAAATCGGTTCCCCATGGAAGTTAGTTAAATAGTGTAGTGCACGCGCGCACGAACGCACACCCACGCATGGATTCGCAATAAAAAAAAAATTATTGGAATTTATTATAAAAAAAAAAAAAGGAGGGCAGTAGCGGCGGCGGCGGCGACGACAGGAGCTAACAACATGTTTAATTATATTCAAATTAAAAAGAAAATAAAAGTTTCTAAACCAAGTTAACAATTGGATTTACCTCACTCACTCATTCACTCATTCACTCACGCACACACGCACACGCACACGCACGATTTAAATTCTTATGCCAAATTGCTTAGGAAATAAAGGAAATCACATTTATCATGAATGGCGCCCATTATATTCCTTTGAAATTGAATAAATTGCAACATTCGCCTGGTTGTCTGCCTGTTTGCCTGCCTGCCTGCCTCATTACCTGGCACAAATATTTCAAATGTGTCCTTGTCATTATTATCATTATTATTATTATTATTATTATTATTATTATTATTATTATTATATATGATTCTTTAAAGTGACAAAGTAAAAAAAAAAAAAAAAATTATTTATTTCTTCTTCTCTTAAAAATAATGAATAATAATAATAATTATTATTATTATTAAAATACTCTATGATAATAACAATTCGATTTTACAATATTCATAAAAGATAAAAACGCGGGAAATTTAAATTTAAATTTAAATAATAATAATAATAATGAAAACCTTTTCATTTTATTTTGAGGGTCAAATCTCCAAAAAAATTTTTTTTTTTTTTTAATGGTTTACTTATTTATTTATTTAAAAGACAATAATAATAATGATAATAATCGAAAGTATGGGGAGAGGGGAAGGGGGAGGGAAGGGGGAAATGACTTAGCAATACACGGCCGTGATATTACGTCATCGATTAATCAATTTTTTATTTGTTTTTTTAATTTGTTTTTTCCATAAAGTTTTCGATTTTTTTTTCGCGAGTTATAATCGGAAATAGTGAAAAAATTATTTGGACGTCATAGAGTAAATAAACGGAAATGAAGAGGTAAAAGTAAATTATAATGTGTCTAAACGGAAAAATTAAAATTTAAAAAAATAAAAATTTTTTTATATAAATTAAACTCGCGAGATTTTTTTTCTCTTCCAGTCGTGTTTTTTTTTTTTTTCGTATCGTTCTTTTTCCAGAACATTCGCAGTCAATCCCCTTCCCCTCTGGAACGGAGCGAAAAAAAAAACCTTGAAAACGTGAAAGAAAAATGATTATTTTTTTCCTTGAAAATAATAATAATAAATAAATAAATAAATAAATAAAAATTTTCGTACTGGAATTTATTTTTATATAAAAAAAAAAAATTTTCTTTAGTTTCTGGAATTTTCTTTTTTACTGACCCGCGATCCGTAATCGAAAATGCGATGCGTGCGTGCGTGCGTTCGTGCGTGTTTTTAAATCGACCTTTGACATTTTCCTTTTTATTTTTATTTTTTAAATCGTATTTACGTCTTCTGTCGTTTCTCCTGCCACCGATTTAATCATTAGTAATAATAATAATAATAATGATAATAGAAAATTTATGACGAAGACGCCGAAATTTTTTTTATTTATTAATTAATTATGTACATATATTTATGTATATTTATATATATGTATATGTAATTTATATACGAGAGAAAAACTGTAGATATTCATTATCAATCATATCACATTTTTATCAAATTTTTATTATTATCATCATCATTTTTGTGTCGATTACGTAATAATAATAATAAATATTATTAAATTATTTTTTATCCGGTTTAAACGCGCTTTTAAATTTACAATAAAAATAAAAAGAAATTCGGCGCCTTTGTTTAACTTATGTAATCTCTTATTTTTTAAATTTTTTTAAAAAATTGAATTTTTTTTGGTTTTGTTTGTTTTTCACCCTTCCCTCTGTCACCCGCTTTCTTATTACCCCCCGCCCCGCCTCCTCCCCTAAAAAAAATTGATTTGTTTAATTTATTTTTTATTATTATTATTTTTTTTTTAATTTTTCGATTTATTTTAATAAATAAATAATTGTTAAAAAATGATTTGTTTTTTTTAATTTTTCCTTATTTGAACATTCGAAAAAAATATTATTATTTGTCGATACGTATGCAACAACATCCGTTTCCGGTTTTGATTTTCGATTGGAAAATGTGTGAATTTTTTTTTGTTGTTGAATGAAATGAAAACTCGATGAAGAAAATTTTTTTGTCAATTTTTTCTTTTCTTTTCCGAAAAAGAAAAAATGGAAATGAATGAACGAATGAATGAAATAATGAATGAATGATTTATTGATTGATTGAATGAAAAAAATATAAAAATTAAAAAAAATTAAAAAAATTAAAAATAAAAAATAAACTTTGAACGAAAGCTCGAATAAATTTTTATTACTTTGAAACCAGATTTCAATGTAACAAAACAATAAAAAATAATGATAATAATAACAATAATTAAATTAATAATAATAATAATAATAATAATAATTGTTATTTATCGATTACGTTATCATTATTATTAAATTGTTATCTTATCTTTTCCAGGTGAAAAACAAAACACCTTGAAATAACTTGTAAATAAAACTAAATTATTTATTAATTTTTTTTTTTCTTCTCCTTTCGTGTGAAAAAAAATTATTATTATTATTATTATTATCATCATTATTATTATTTTAAATAAAAAAAAACTTGTTAATACATAAATAAAATTGTTTTTGATTCGATTCGAAAAAAAACGAACGAATCAAATGACGTGTTAAAAAAGGTCATTCGCGGTTCGGGTCATTTTTTTTTTTTTAAATCTTTTGCAAAACAAACAAACAAACGAAAAGTTCAAAAACCTGAAACGTACCTGATTAAAAAAAGAAAAAAAAAACATAAAAACATAAAACATAAAAGCGTTAAATTTTTATTTATTAATTTTATTGTTCGACGTAATTATTAAATATTAATAATAATAATAACGGATTGGAACGAATGAAAAAAAAAAAAACGCGTAAAAGATGGAAAGCTTAATGATGATGATGATGATGATGATAATAATAATGATGCGGTAATGGTTATTTTATGCTCATCGATAATAATAATAATAATAATAATAATAATAATAATAATAATATTCATAACGAAAAAATAATTCGTTTTTTTTTTTTAAGATATATACGACTTTATATTTTCATTAACCGGACATAACAACAACAACAACAAACGCAAACCCCCCCCGCGCCTTCCAAACCTTCTTCTTTCTTGTTTTTTTTTTTTTTTTTTTTTTCATTTACCAATTAACGGAACATGGATAATAGAAAAAAAAAAAAAACATTTTATTGCATTTCCATGTTTTTTTTTTTTTTTTTAATAAATCGGTTTTGTACCACTTTGTACCGCTTTTTACCGCATCTCGTCGTACGTTACCGTAATATCGGTGGTAAAAAAAAAAATTCTTTTAATTAAATAAAAAAAAAATAAATTTTTTCGCGTGTGAATAAAAAAAAAAACAATTTTTAACTTGAATTATTATTATTATTACAAGAGCCCGGATGTTAATAAATATTTAATAAAAAAGTTATGTATTTATGTATTAACATTTACG